CTCTAGTTGAGGGGAAAAAGTTTTAACGAGGAAAGAAAGGTGTATCCACGTTATAGTTTCATGTCAGAAATGCCTTAGAAATCCGCTCACGTGGAAACGTGATTGTCTCAGTTTATCTGTTGATTTTACCCATTTATACCTGTTTAATTATGAAGTCTTTATATTTACTCATTTGAGAGGGAATCTTGGGATCACATCATACAAAGACATATGCAACAACACGACAGTAAAAAAAAAATGCGCTATTACAGTGTCACCCTTTCAATGTGTATATAGTATTGAGTCGAGTTCTTTCTGCTTGTTTTTTAAAAATAAGTTGCTAGAAGGAAACCTTCAAATGATTCACATAGCCAAGCGCATGTGCACGGGATCGTGTAATACGGACTGAGGTAGATTGATTTGCGCTTTGTGAATACGGTATGAATTCCTCTAGTGCTTTGCGTAGGCGGGCTTCCCGCTCGCCGCGCCAATCAAGTCCTTTTACAAAAGAGGGCAAGTAGTACGCCGGAATGGTACCCCAGTGTCGTTGTGACGGTCCTTTATCTCCGCTATTTGGCTCCATAGTTTGTGGAGACTTTATAGACAGGTGCTGTTCCCGACGTAAATTGAAATGGGAAGGAGATAAATCTTCTTCATTATCAAACAACAAAAATGCTTGCTTCTTTGCGATGAATTCCTCGGGCTCTGGAAGAATGGGAAAGTCCGGTACTGTCGCATCAATTGTCTGGACATGCACGTCGCGATTGAAGGGAAAACGCCAGTACATGCGACGGTATCGATCCATCCCAAGAGGTTGTATGATGGAACCCACATCAGTTTTGTCCAAGTCTTGATAAAAGTCCATGTACACCTCGTGGCGTTTTTTTTCCGTATCCTTCAGAATTTTGGCTCGCCTGATTTCATAATCCTTCGCGTCAAGATTATCCGTTTCCTTCTCTCCATTTGGAGGAGGACAACGAAATGCTTTGAGAAGATTTTTAACCTCCTTCTCTGCCTCTTCTCGAATTTCGCGAAGACGCTTTTCCATCATTGTTACGCGTTTCTCGCTCATCTTAAGCAATTCTTCCGCTTCCTTACGAGCTTTGGTGCCGCTGAGGACCTCACGAACAAGAAAGTTGAGCAAGTTTAGGCGATCTTCGATACTCAGATTACCCCACGTGGCTAACACCCGAAGCTCCGTAATGTGCTCCATGGTGGTTTTCAGCTCTTTATCAAACCCCAAAACCTCATCCTCAGCTTTATCAGAGGGCGGCACTTTCGCATCATCCGTATTTTTTTTCACGCGAGTCTGTTGGGCAGATCCCGATCCCGCCTCCGATTTTTCATCATCAGATTCCTCCTCCTCCGAGGTATCGCCGTCAAAACTTGGACTTGCCTCAGAGGAAGTCTCACTGTCACTATCCTCATCATTTTCACTTTCCTTGTCACTTTCCGTGGCATGAGATAGGTGTCGTCCCCGTTGGTTGCGCTGTTGTTTATTACCGCTCGCTAGCGCCACAAACTCAACCATAGCCTCAAACCAATTTTTCCCACGAGTCGACATGCGCGGTAGACTGGGAGACGTATTGCGAACCTGCTCCATACAAACATCCAAGAGGCAGCGCGTGATCTCTTCCATGAGCCCGTTATTATCTTGGTCTCCCATATGAAGACCTTTCAGAAACAATGAGAAAGGCATCCGTGAAAGGCAGAGCGTCTGGGGAATGGATACAAGCATTGTCCATATGGAAAGAGCTTTTTGGAAGTTTTCCAATGGTTCGAGGGGAAGATGGAGCTCATACTGAACAAAAGCGCTCTGGGCGGGATTCACAATCTCAGTATCCTCGACGAGTTGGTCCCCAATTGTGATGCCCTCGATAAATTGCCGCAGCAAATGCCGCTCTTCATTCTTTTTTGCCAACATCGCCTCCTTGGCCTTAGCCTTCTCGATGCTTTTCTGCTCAGCCTCATCCCTCTTCACCTTGGCAGCGACACGCGCTGCTCGTTTCGCCTCCTTCTCCTCGTCGGTTGGTTCACAAAATGGCGCAGTATTATACCCCTCGATTTGATTGATAATCTTAAGGCACGCATACGCGATGGGATATAGCAGATCTTCATCGAGTTCGTAGCGCCGATCTGGCTCCTGACGAAATATTGCAGCAGAAGCATCTAGCGCTGCCCTGAGTTCCCTCAGCTCAACTTCGTGAAAGGGCTCAGGTGGCTTTTTATCCTCCTTTGCATTGTATGCTTCAAGCTCCTTGTCTATGATACTCTGAATGGCACTTATGCGCTCCTGCAGGTGGTCAAAAATAATGATTAAATCGTTAAACTGTGTTGCGTAGACGTGCGCAAGAACTAGTATCACCTGATTGAGAGCCGCAACGACTTTTTTCTCTCCGGTCGTAAGTGCTCGAAGGCGTCCAAAAACAACCAGAGGAGCGGAAGAGGTTGACTTGTTGGAGCGATGCTTTGCCGACGCGGTGGCAGCATTTTTGGTGTTCCCAGTGCTCGCGACCTCGAGCTTCTCAATTTTGAGTATGGGCTCCTCTGGGTTGGTACCATTAGATAGCGAGCGCGTGGTTCGCTTTCCGTTGGCAAGTTTCGGTCCATTTTTATTCCCACCCTTCCGAAGAGGAAGGCTACTCGTCTCGTTAAGACTTCCATTGCTGGTTTCTGGGTGAGTTAAATACACTGTGTCGTTCACAGCCTTTTCACCTGAATCAATCGCATCAGGCAGACCTCGGGCTGGCGACGGGCCCTTGTCGGTAGAGCGCACCTTTGCAGGAGAATGAGAACTCACCGGGGGCTTCTTACGCAGTGCTTGCACCACTTGGCCAGACTCCTTAGCTTCCTGACGATAATGCTTCTCGAGTGTATTGAAGGCAGATTCTAACTCAACGATCGAGGAGGGCGTGATCGGCTCTAATGATGCGTTACCAACCACGAATTGCTTCACTATAGAAACTAAAGATGCATCACCGTTGCCGAACATCGTCACCGCGCGGATCAGGGCGTCATAATTTATCGTGATGCGCCGCAAGGCTTGGGAGCGAGCCTGCAACGACGTGTAAGAGGCAAAAAGCGAGAGATACGAAACCGCTGCGTGCAGCGTTGAGACTGCAAACACAGACCTATCCTCATTGCTGGCAGATTCCATGAAGTCAAGGGATCCCACTAAAACTTCTTCAGCAGCTTCAATTTTGTAAGGAAGAAAGGCTTCAGTTGGAAGGGAATTAAACGCGGATATTGTGCCATCCTTCTCAGTGTCTTTATATATCTGATAAGCAGACCTTGCCGTGATCATTATACCTGCCTTATCGTGTCCCCTCTATATAATTTTTAGATGATGTCAAAATTAAAAATGAACTCTGTTCCAAACTACAAAGAGTATTTTTTGCTTCTATTTCTATTTGAAACTATCAGCTTTTCATGTGTTTTACTTGTTTTTATAAGTTTGCATGTGAGTTTAGTTGGTGCCCCTTTCACCTCAGAGTTTAAAAGAGAAGATAATACGTCCCAAACGGTTAAGTTTCTTTATTTAATCTTATGCTTGAGGAGGTTCAATTTTTAACTCACCCTTTCTAACATGCAAGAAAGGAATAAAAGAAAGATCAAAGGAAGGGAAGTCATGAAGTCTAGAGGTTGCATGAATAAAATAATAGTTGAGTTCTGGCTCACAAACGTTTTTGTGGTCTTGGTTTCTAAAACTCTACGTGTTTTTTGTATTTTTTTTCTCTGCCCCTTTATTGATGTTAAGGTTCGCGGAGCTTCATTAAATAAGTTCGGTGATAAGGTTCTCATCAATAAGAGTGGATAGATTGAGGGTGACAGGTTTGCCACCCCACTGAATGGGAGCCTCCTGTAATCGATAGGAGGTCTCCCTGGTGGTGACTTGTTGCGTTGTATCTGACTTCGACCTATTAACAGTTCCATCACCACTAGTCGCGTCTTTTGCAGCAAGGCAAAAGTAAGGCCCTTGATGCCATAATGGATTAAGGCGCTCGGACAATTTGGTCGCAATTTGCAAATGAGGCAAATAGTTTGGGGATGCAGTTGATCTTGGGAACGGAGAGGGTTCCAGACCCCCTAATGGGGGAACTCGCCTGAACTTATCATAGTTTGTGGATTCATTGTATAAAGAGGCAGTGAGTTGATGATTGTGGTAGATTTTTTGAGCGGTAAACCGGGAGTAAGGCACGGTAGCTGCTTTCTTGGAATGATACAAAGACCCCGAGAGTTCCTGTACGGCTTCATTTTGGCCACGCAGACTGGGATCAGCTCGCACGAGCTGCAATTGGTTTTCACGCATAATACGTCGAAGGACACTTAACAGATATTCGACATGGTACATCACCATCACGTGCGCCAATTCCTCCATGGTATGGCGTACCAATGAGCGAACCGCGTACATGTCTTTGCCAAAGGGCATCGAGTGACGCGTGGTACCAAGGTCGAGCTCCGTCGACCACAGGTAAACCTCCAACTCCCCAAAGAGCGTTTCCACGACGTCACTCTTGAACTTGCTCACAACTCGATCACTTTGGGTTAATTGCTGAAGCTCCAAGTAGTCGTACGCACGCGCCAGCCCGTCATTACCGTCAAGAATAAACTGTGAGTAACCCAACTTGCCCCGAATGCCCCCCTCACTCACCGGGAAGATGCAGTTAAATCGGTTGTTGAAGACATACTTCACCACGTTGTCGCCTAGCCACTCCAGCCGCTCAAACTCCCAGGAGCGCCCCGCCCCGGAGTTCCCGGAGAGGACGTTGAAGGCGTCACGGATGATGCCGCGATCGGTGAGAAACCGCAGTAGGTACTGCAACCGGCGCTTTCGCACGTGGCTGTTGTTGTGGCTAAGCGCCGGGATGCGTTCAAACGCGTCTGAGGTGTGCAGGCGATGCCACCAAATCTGCGTGATCTCCTCCGGTGTTCCGCAGTAGGCGCGAACCATCTCCAGCAGCAGCGCCTCCCGCCCACTATGCGGGATGCTATTTTGGTGGCTATGCCAGTTTAGGATGGTCTCGTTGCACAGCTTACACCGTTTCGCGTCGAAGTCGCAGAACATGTCGAGAAATTTTCTCATCGGCACATCGATGCTCAAAGGGGTGGACCTACTGCTGCTTGCTTCGATGATATCGCGACGCGCGTGAAGGTGCTTGTGCGGATCGGACTCATTGGCGAGAGATCCGTTTTCTAGGGAAGTCCTATCGGTAGGAAAAGACAACGACAGGCGTCGATGACGCCTTAGTTGAGTGTCGAGCTGAATCGATGTCGAAAAGTTATAATAGGCAGGTTGTTCTTTAGAAGGCCTCTTGATATTCTCACCGGATGGAGACGCAGAGGTGGTGCTACCACCACCATCCTTTCGAGTAGTGGATGATTGAATATGGAGAAAGCGCTGTATCGAATTTGTACGAATAAAGACACACTTTAGACGACTAGAACTCTCTGGTTTGAAAAAATTTACGATAAAAAATCTCATATCAATTCACCTGTTTTTTTATTATTCGTTAGACTTCTAGCAAGTCACGTCGTTTTTTTCCTAAAAACATTTATGTCGCGAATAGGAGCGAATATTCCTTCAAGTATTTTCCCCTTTCCCTCTAGCTGGCGAGAAAAAAAACGGAAAATGGACAGCAGCGGTGACTACCATGAGTGGAGGGAGAGAAGATGACCAAATACAACAAAAGGTGTCTACATCTAGTAAGAGTCAAGAAATACACAAATGATTCACAAGCGTCTATGCAATTGTGAGTGGGAAGGAGTATAATGCTTCCTAATGATTCAATACAACAACAAAAGTTAGTTTACATAACTATTGCCCGCTCCTCGCAAACATAAGACGGAAAAAGAAGCGACATGGAAAATCCGCACGCATGCTTTTACGTAGAGACTAGCATCAAGCTATTTCCTCTTTCGATCCCTAGAGACTGGGGTGCTTCCTCGCACATTAGTGTTTAATTTGGATTCTAGAACAGAAATTTTCTGCTCCAAAGCGTCTAAACAACCTAAAGAGCGTTGACACACGGCTTCGCGAATGGCCTGCAGCTGCTCCCTAATGCCGGCTTTATATACTGGATCATTCAGGGAAGACTCTTGCTCTAAAAACGCGTTCATGGCAGCTGACCGGTCATCCTCTTGCTTTAACATTTCATTTTCCCGTTCCCGCTCGGCCTCCTCAACTTTATTCTTCCACGAGCTCTCGGAAAGCGCCTCCATGAGAGGCGGGAGGGAGGTGGGCGGAATCTCTGTTGTCGCTCCAAGGTGCATCATTTGTATACTCTTGATTTGCTTTGGAACGAAGGCATAGATATACATCTTATAATGTCGATAGTAAGTAGAAAGAAGGTACTCGTCGATGGCTTGGACGTCTTCAAGAGTAAAGATTGCAGTGGAATACGGCGGACGAGCGACACTATGCTGAATCATGAGTTTTCGAAGTAAATCGTACGACCCAGCGCGTGTAAGACGCTCGGACATGCTTTGCTCGTGCAATTGGTGAACAATTGCCACCAGAGTGCTAATTTTGTCGGCAGTCAAAGAATGGTTCTTCGCAAAGACAATCAAGTGAGCGTAGAGATCTAAAAGAATTCGAATCTGACCTTCATTTCGCTCCTTAATTTTTAGAAAGCTGTCTTGCTTACTTTCATTGCAGTCCCGTAAAATAGGTCTAATCTCGCAGATGTCGGACGCATAGTGCATGCATTTTTGTGTATGCTCCGAGTCGAGAATAGCCCATATTAGTGTTCGGGACATTACTTTGCTATGTTCAATTCTGTCTAAAATTCTAAAAAGACACTAATTAGGAAAACTAGGCACTACACTCACAAGAAAAACATATGAGGTGTGAATGAAAGAGACGCGTTATAAGTGAGGCAAAAACTGTCCTTTTAAGGATCTGTCAAAATGATTTCCTTCTAAAAATTTATCAATATTTTATCTGATGATGCTTCTCAGGGTGAAATTATTTGATTCTGAGGGAGAACAGTGAATTTCACTTACTAATTATTTTTCCTCGCGTATTGGTACCGGGGAGGTCCCGCAATGCAATTCGGCAGCATGCTCAGTCTAATACATAGAGATTTCGAAATGCCCAGAGCGCTCAAAGCTAGTAAACACACCACCACACGCTGTGATGGACGCATGCACGCGAACAAGAGCATTGGAGAGGTGGCGCCACTAAACTTCCACATCGCATATCCCCAAGCCAGAAGCAGCAGTGGCGCCCATGCCTCACCCGTCCTGAGCGACATGAAGAGAAACCGGTAGATTTTATTTTTGGTGGAGCGCTTCACGTTGGCGCTGCGGTAAGAAGGGGCACTGCTGACAGCAGCTTTCAATGCCCACCACTTCACTCCAATGAATAAATATAATACGAACCCCAAGAATAGTAGATAGCAAGCGATGGCGCCAAATTTCCATGTGATATCGGACGATACCAAACCAGTGAGGCGCGTTAGAATCCCCGTGGTGGGTGACGGCAGCACCTCTAGCGCAGGCAAACCCGCATTACAATTCAGACGATAGATAGAAATAAGCGTCAAACTTACCATAAGTACCTGCTCCGGCACGTTTTCAGGCTTTCCCGTACCTTTCGACAACTTTTCATTTCGCTTAGTCTTTTGTATATAACTGTAGGATTCCACCAGATCATTTGCCCACTCTTTAAGCCGTGAGAGTCTCTTTGTAAGAAACTTCATTTGGGCCTCCTGCGCTTGATTCGAGCCATCGTTGTTAATCAGTAGCTTCTTTATCCTCTCAATTTCGAGATTCACCTGTGACACCGCCAACGAATACAAGGGGAGGCTGAGAGAATAGATTGCTTGAACTGCACTCTGGCTTCGCTGGAGGTAGTCCGTGATGTGCTGCATAGCTTGGGTGGTATTCATTTCGATCGCATCCCTATCATGCCAAGCCCCCATACCCGTAGAGCGGTTCGTATTTTTATAAAGAGCTACTAATACCCGTTGTAACATCTTCTCCTCGTGGAGTGCCTTATAGAGGATGTCGGTATTGTACAGCAAATGGGATGGAAGAAACGACCATAAGCACTTCATTTTACTCGCATAAGGGTCGCAAGTCGTATGGTCAAAGCACTTAGTAGCGAGCGCGTGAATGATGTGCGCCGCAGAAGATGACGTCTGCAGAGGATCTCCAGCTAATAACGAAAGGCTGTTATTTTGTATTGCCTTCCCAAAACGTTTCACCGCCATCAGGAGTTTCAACCCCTTTGCCTCATTTGGATTGGAACCATCGGCAAGCAATGACTTGTAAACGCTGTAGCGCTGTCTCATTGTTGGTATTTTGAAGAAATCCATCTGAGCTGTGAAACGGTTATCGATATTCTTTCCCTTCCGTGCATCGTCCCCGCGCACTTCCCCCTCCCAATCTGACAACACCTTCCTCCACTGCGTCCACAGCTCGTGCTGCTCGTCTTCAGCTTGAAAGAACGCCGCCTCAGCCTCAGGTGAATCACCGTATACCCAATGCCCAAGCCATGGGAGCGGCGGAACTTTCTCAGAAAAAGGTAAGATACCCGGTAAAATATACACATTCTCCTGTGATGATTCGCGGCCTAACAATTCGACCTGATCATTGCCAAAAGCATCCATTGAGAGGACAATGGCAACTAGACCTATGGCAATAAGTAAGTTCCTAAAAAACGACATGTTAAGGCTTAAAAATAATAATAAAAATAGCTAATACTACCCTCCTTTTTCGTTTTGAAAGATCAAATTTAATAAAAAGCTGAAGTAGATCTATACATATATATATATATATATATATATAGGATAGTTTTCACATCACGAAAGAACCCCCGCCACGCATAAAAGTGACACCCATGCGTGTGAATATTTAGAGTTCAACTATGAATGAGAAAAGTCCGCATAAACTGTTCCTTGTTCAAGTGCCTCATTCATTTTCTATTTTGCTCGTGCCTTCTGAACCAATTATTCACTTTACTCCACAAAGATATAGCTTTGACCCCCCACCGCATCCCACTTAAACGATGCAGACGAAGGTTATAAAGCATTCCTTCACCACGCCCAAGTGACATTGGCATCTCCTCCCTAAGCGCCGCCCCAATCCGATTCCACGGCTCCACCAAAAACTCCCTCTCGAGGTCAGACCCGTAATGGTCCTTGTTGCCATTTTCATATATGCCATCCTTTCCCTTTTTTAATCCACTTTTGCTATGCAACCCGTCACCTTCCAGAATTGCGCTTGAGGGCGGCAATACGTCCTTCGACAACGGGCTTGTAGTGAGATTGTAATAGTAAGTTAGGCGGCCAACCAAATCCCCCACAACGTACGTCATGAAGTTGCTTCTCATCCGCGCAGTGAAAGAATCCCCATGCACTTGCTCTAAAAGAGAATAAAGCTCCAATGCGCATTGTGGGTCGCCTGCGGGGAACAACATGCTGTCGTATAACGTTGAGGGAATATTCTCAAGCCACATCCTATCATCATCCCTGCAACCCCTGGTGTGGCCTTCATTTTGCGTTGTGTTGGTAGCAGCGCGAGAGGTATTTGGATTGGTTGGACACCCTGAAGCCAAGGTGTGAAGAATTGAGCTCGTACATTGGAGGAGGATGGACATCGCGTTGTGTAGTCGCCGTGGGCTCCCCCGCCCCTCCGAGCTATTCGACGCCGCCATCGCCCGTTGGATCTCTCGCTTCGCGCGCCACCTGCTGACGGAGGTCATGAGCTCCTGCCGAAGCTCCACCGCTTTATATCGAAAAGGAGAGTGCGCGTCGAGCGAGAGCGCACTACAGTAGCCGTGCAGCCGCGCCTTTTCGCGATGCCACTGCGCGACGGCGTGATGCTCCCACCACATGCGCGCCATGACGGCGTCATCCCACACCTCATGCGCGACGTAATCCGCGAAAGGGACCATAAACGGGTTATGGCGCTCGCCTGCCTCAAAAAAGATCAACGCAAACCCCGTCGGGTCGCCAGACTCCAGCGCGATGGAAAGCAGCAGCGTGGCGATGCTCAGCGCCCGCACGCGAGGCGAGGAGGCGAAGCACTCCAGAAAAGCCGCCACGAACTCCGCTGGGCTCTCCAACGTGAGTTGGGATTGGGGTTGATCATCGGTGGGAAAGGTGAGTGGGGGAGAGAGAATCTCTATCCCCATCTTCCGCAGTAACGCCTCCTCGGTGGTTTCCGTGAAGAGGTAGTAGAACGCATTCGCAACTCGGTCGCCGAGACGCTCAAGCCGCGTCCAGTTCAAGGAGGAGAGGTACTCATCGGTATCGCTCGCATAGAGGAGCGGGAGTAGCTGCGTTCGATCCAAATCGCGTTGCTTTCCATTCCGGAGAGCCTGAAAAATGGAGCGACGGGATGTGAGCTCGTCTAGTAGGTTAACAGGAGCGGCAAGCCCACTAAAGAGCAGCTCCACGACGGACTCCGAGCTACGAACATTGCGAGCAGAAAAGGACAAGAGTCTGCGGCTGTAAAATCGGATGGTATCGTCCGGTAGGGGAAGAAACTTGCGCCTTCTACCGACTAAACCTCGATATTGCGTGATTGCAAGGCCCAGGAGTCTGTTCAGGAGGGAGCTGTCATCCAATGATTTGCTCTTTCCCTCATTGGCATACTCAGGGAGCTCTTTTGGATAATCATTCAACAACCAGGTCATCAACACAAATGAATCAATTGTATGGACCGATAGGTAACTTTGATCCAACATGTTGATACTCGATTGTGTGTGTTCCCATTGATTCATCGCAGTCAGCAACATCAGGAACGCCGCCTCTTGAGGAGATCGACTAAAAGGAACCCGAAAAACGTGGTAGAAAAGGTTGTTTATATGCCACATGGAGGCTGACATTTGAGCAGGCCCAAAAACCTTGGAGGAAGAGAGGGAGTTTAGTTTTCGAGGCTTCACGGTTTGATCTAAAAGAGCACACGCAGCCAAGAGGGTCATTTGCTCCCCGATGAAAGCAACGGGAGAGTCGACCAATGCTAAGGGAGATGCTTTACTTTGGAACGCATCGTATGGAAGCTTGGTGCCGGCAACTTTAGCTAACCTTTTTTCGCCCCAGTTCTTGAGGTGGCGGTAGAGATTCTTAGAATCAAATTGAAGGCCTCCACTCTCAGTGTTTGCCCGTCCACCATCTGATGTCTCTTGATGAAGCTTACTTAGCTTGGCGAGTTCATGAAGAACTTTAGGGCGTAGATCAGCATAAGCCACTTTATGTGCAGCAGCTGATAAATCGACCGACAGGCTCGCATACGCTGACACGAGCTCGTATTCCTGCTTCTCCAGTAGATATAGGTAGCTAAGCAACATCAGAGTTTGTTGTAGCGTCAGGAAGTTCTTCTTCATCCGTGGAATGGGCAAAGTGACGGATTCGGTTGCCGCTTCGCGTTTCATCCGCAACCAGGTGGGGCAGCTAATGCGGAGGCGCCCAGGGCTTGACAGAAGATCGCCAAGCGCAAGCGTGTGTTCCATGCAGATGCCTCGATAAAGTCGAGCTCGATGGTACTTTGTGCTTGTTGCCTCCTCGTTTAGCTCCATACTGTCCAAGAGCTCAACATCACAGAGGTAGCCGAACATCCGGAGTATCGTGAGGAGTTCGCACTCGACTCGCCGCAGGTCCTGCTTGACATCCATAGGGCCTGCCAGCAATATACTAGCCTTTGTGAGCTGGTTGGCTGCTTGAGCCGATAAACGTCCCACCTCACGACCAGAGGCCACCTCTAGATTTTCTTCCTCCGAGAGGATATCTTCGGCGTCATTTATTGGCCTTAGCCCCTCGGGGTCGTAGGGCTGTTGATCATCCATAGAAAGTATCGAATCTATGCTCTTCCGTGAAATAACAGGGTAGTTTAAGTTTCCAAATCCGTTCAGCACAGCATAGAAACGCTCCTGCCTTAGAAGGAGCTCTGCCGGGGAAGTCCTATTGAACCCCAGGCTGCTGTTCATTTTCTCCGCCGCAGCATCGCTGCGGCGTCTTTGTTGGAGAAAGAGCTGTCGGAAGAGAAACGCCGACTTTCCACGCATGGAGCGAAGCAGAAGGGATAACGCAGCCTTGTGGTGTTGCCTTGTGAGGATGCCATGCTCCCGCAGCGTGGCGAGAGCTGCTATCGCGTGTGGCGATTCATACCACATGGCTTGGTAGAAATCAACAACCACACGGGGACTCGGGGGGTTATTATACTCCTCCGTTGTATGCGCCCGTAGGGAGGTGGTGTTGGGGCGGCCCGGCGGTTGCAGGAGTTGCAGGAGTGCGGCTAGATAGACGAATTCACCTCTTTCTGCATAAGAAACATCACAGCCACACAACCGATCGCCCTGGCGGTGGATGAAGTCCAAGGTTCGTTTCAGAAAACCCTGGTCATCAAAATCGTCGTCCCGCGGTGAGGTACGAACCCCCCACCAATTCCCGGCACCTGAGGACGGCGCCGCGGTCGTCAAATTTTTCCCAAACGACGACAAAAAAATGGCGAAGCTTTGGGCGGTGGTAAGGGGTTGCCCCGTCCGCTGCCCCCACCCACGCGTCTCCTGAAGGGCTTGACAGAAATTTACGCACATCTCCTTATCTCTTTCCTCAACGCCGGCCTCCACATTCTCCTCCCTCTCCTCCTCATGAGGGCAGCGGTAACGCGCGAGCAGCCGGCGTAGCTGCATCAGACGGGAGTCGGAGCTCAACACGCGCTGCTCTCGCAGCGTTCGCCACGCGCGGGTGAGCTTCATGCAGGCAAGAGATCCCCCTTCAAGCGCCTCAAACGGGTCGCCCAATCGCGGATCCAGGAAGGGATCTGAACATGTAAAGCCTGGGGATTGTGGAGGCTGGTTGGAACTGTTTAGGGGCCCCGATGCGGTTGCTTCTGAGGCACCCTCTTCTTCGAACTGCTGAGGTGCCCTCGGCGGCCCCTTGCTCGACCTGTCAAGCGTAGCGTTATAGTGGCGCTTGGCTTGGATCCTCTTTTGCCACAAAAGTCGTTTGTAAGTCGCTGTGTAATCAAAGTGAACCCACCACGAGTTGATTGACGGGCCCGCCGTAACACTGATGTCAGCTAGCGGGATGGAAAAGGTCTGCGGATGAACATCTCCAGCGACGGTAGCCGGCAGCTTGATCACAATCATGCCTGGCGGGTTCACGTTAGGCATGGCTGCGATGACTTCCTCTACTGCGTTGAGCGTTGAGGCCACCACTGAGGTATTTTCTATCGCATTCCAAACATCAGGTAGCGCTATATGTTCCAACGATTTCAAGCGCTGAACCCCGTATCGCTGCCTCAGCTCCACCGGGAAGGAGATCTGCAACAAGGAATACAATGAGGAGCTATACGGAGAAGGGCAAACACCCTTTTGTAGATTACCAAATAGAAGCACATCGAGTAGGCATTGCATCTGAACGGGATTATCCAGGTTCACGATGAAGGAAATCCCAATGTGGTCGAGTACCTTCATTGCGGCATCACTCTTTGTGGAGATTGCAGCCTCGTGAAGTGTGTCTGGATCTAATTGCAGTTCAAGGTCTGGGATGCATTGCCAAAAATTGTGTAGTGGTGATACTGTTACAATCCAGGAAACCTGCGCATACGATAGGGGACTTGTGAAGATGAGCGCAAGTGCAGTCAATAGGAGCAACGAAAATGCTCCCGGCCTCATAGTTTCACCACCCTACTGCGGGCACCTATAGCCGCTGATCCTGATGCTAAGTTCAAACCAAATGAGAAACCGCTTCTTGAAGAAATGGTTCGAAACAAAAACAAGGAAAAAAGGAGATTAATGCTTGTCACGAAAGAAAAAAATATGATGGGGAGTCGTGAAATGTAAGGTACATTTTTAATAAAAAAAATCCTAAGACTATTTTTTCGTCAACAACATGATCAACAATGTTTCTTGTACATGGTGCCAAAAAAAAAAGGAAAAGCTAACGAAAGTGTGGGAAAAAGTTGACTACACTAGACAGGAGGGAAACATTTCAGCAATGTAACAAAATATTTGAATAAACGATGAAAGCGTGGCGTAAAGCTTTTTTCCTTACATATCTGACTTGTTTTCAACTTTATTCCTTTCCTTGGATGAAAAAGAAGACGACAGTGGAGGGTTTTTTGAATAGAAATAAATCTTCCGTCTTGATCCATGTAAAACGAATTGTCTGTGCTGCCCTCAAATTGATCCGTTCTAGGTTTACCCTCAAGCACACAACTCAATTATCAAGGAACAACTATTCATCCCCTTGAACATCTTGTCTCAGACATCCGTGCGTCGTTTAGGCCCCACCTCTTTTAATATACACACACTAAATTTATCGTAGCTCCTCTTTGTGTTGTTTTTGATCGGCCTTATTGTGCTGGCAGAGGGATCACCCCCTAAAGCCGCATATCTTCGATTTCTTGCATCACTTCCCTGAGAGAAAGACCGATTTGCTTTGCAGGGTTGTAGCGGCAGAGCGGACAGCCGGAGCCTTTCATGCATTGGTATTCATAATCTCGCGCAAGAAAGAAATGCTGGCAACCCTTACAGAGCTTTATGCCCCTGTTGAGCTCCACCAATCGATAGTAGCGATTCGGCACAGGCAAGACGCCGTAACGTGGATTCACAATAAAAATCTCCTCCCGCTTCAGCGATTTGATGAGACTTGCATTGGCGACAAAGGGCTGGTATTCACCTTTCACACGATTAGAACGCATCACATACTGCAGTTGTGTGAAAAAGGGATCATTACCCTTGTTGGCTGCTGCCTTGGCCTTTCCCATCGCTACCAACTGATTGTCTATTTCGTAATCAATGTTTTCGCTCTCAAAATTGATGACATTGGCGCCGGAATCATCGCGCCACTCCTTGCCAGTTTGAACAGGACCACCATCACTAGTTCCATTGAGAGTGGCCTTATTCCACTGATCCTGGTGATCCCGAGCAGATTTGCCCCCTAGGTTCAAAGTGCCGGCTCCAAGGTCGGAGCGAATCAAATTCTCTGCCATATCATCCGTCAAGTCATTCGAGAGGGTGAACTCGACGAGTGGCAACACCTCAAAGTTAACAAACGAACGAACGAAAGGGTGGTAGCAGTTTGGGCAACGGTCACCAGGATCCGTCAGCTGCGGTACAACATGCTTGCAACGAAAGCAAGTATCTAGAAGCTCATCCCGATCGGCGTACCTCTTGCAACGCGCCAGAAGGGTTTCGATGTTGACCTGCTCTAGTATCGGTGGGGCCAGTATCACAGAGTGCAGCTTCTCAAAAACAGCACGCGCGGTGCGTACCATATCCAGACGGCATGCCGTGCGAGCCAAGGTGCACAAGATTTCTGCCTTACCAATGTTCATCGGAATAACCCCCTCACTTGCCATGGCGAGCAAGTAGCGCGACATGCGGTAGAGACGAATTTCGTTGTACGGAAATGGCTGCACCATGTGGGTATATATGGTGGCGTACACATAGTACATATCGGCACGTCGGATACATTCATTGCCTTGCTTAATGAGACTTGCCATCTGCACCTCGCTGGGATGTTCGCCATCTTCGAACTGCCCATACTCGTTGGCAAGATGGACGTAGTAAAATGCGGCATCACGGAACTTGCGGCAGGTGACACTGTTGGAGGCCAATACTTCCATCATACGCACCGTCTCCTTCGGCCACTTCGCGGCGCGAAAGGCCTCAAGCGCCTCCTCGAACTTGTCATTCTCTGCCAACCAGTTAGCCCATGGGACGTAGACCTCACGAGCGTACTGCGGACATTTTTCGAAAACCGCAAAAGCCCTTTTCCAATTTCCCATCTCGACATATATTTGGATCAAAGCGTGATTATCATTAACCTTTTCGTATGCTTCTATAGCAAAGGAAATTGCCTTATTCTTCTTGAAACACTCGGCACACTGTGTAATAAGGGCAACCTCACTCTTGGGGAGGGAGCGACAGATTTTCATGAGCTTTTCGAACTCTTTAGCCTGACTCAACATGTGAATGGCCTTGGCGTAGTCACCACAGGTTTCGTAAAGAAAAGCAGCCTCTGTGTAGTTCTTCGATTCTTCAGCCCAGAGTGCCTGCTGGCTGATAAGATCCTTCAGGTGTCGATCATCGCTACATACCCTTCGTGCATCTTCCCACATCTTCAAATCACAAAACATTTCAATAGCACGATCTTCGCATCCAGCTTTTACATACTGCCGCGCGGCCTCCTGAAACTTCCCCTGGAAAGCTAACACATCACCTATGAGAACATTTTTATGATCCACCTCATCCTTGCCGGATTTCGCATCGATTTCCTTCTGCTGTCGACGAGACAACTCCAGTGTGCTTAATAGTTCAACAAATTTGGTATCATGAATGTGAGTAAAGGCATTTCGAGCGATGTCAAGCTTGAGCGCAGACATGGCATGCAGACCAAGCATCTTCCAATCACTCTCCGTTATCCCCAAACGTGCAATTCGATAAGCCGACTCAAAGTCTTTTGCCTCAATGTAGCGATAGAGCGCGTTTGCATGTGGCACATCTATAGCCATGATGTTGTTTCCATGGAGAGTATAGACTCGATTTGCCTTGAAGCTAACTACGAACCCCTGCACCGTCTGCTGATAGGCTGGGAGCGTGTCAGTTTTGATGTTTAGAGTGTTGGTTCCCGTCGTGTATGCAATCATATTATCATTCTCTGTGCACCAGACGACTGTGCTTGTATTGGGCTCTGAAAAAAGCAAGGCCTCTTTGTTTCCAAGCTCGAAGACTCGAAGTAGTCTATTGGCGTCTACAACAGCAATTTTCATGCGGCTGCTACTCAGGTCCAAATGCCGAATGGGTGCATCAAGCGTAAGAAGCGTCATGGGGAAAGGATTGTCGATGAATATCTTCATCACTTGTCCACTTTCAAGGCCAACGAGAAGCGCCTCAGGGTGATCCGGACTACCATCTACCTTGATAAAGCTAATCACACTATCAACCACCCATTCGCGGCGCTTGTTGCCCTCAAAATCGTACATCGTTATCCTGCACTCCTTGCACAAAATAATGGAATGTCCCGTGACGCACATCATCTTACATTCCAGATTCCTACGGATCTGAGCGATATCTTGATAACGCATACTGCGTTCGTCATCATAGAAAAGTTCAAAAACGACAATACGGTCCTTAAATTGCACTGCTAGCCGATCGCGGAAGGTTGCGAGCTTGTACACGTAATTATTACATGGAATGACCATCCTACGATCAAGAGAGGGCTGGTACACCACCACATTGGTCATACCCTCACGGTAGACAAACTGATCCAGATAGATGCTTTGAAGGGGTTTTGTGGTGACCTCCAGACAGATAATAGTACCATCGCTTGTAGAACAGCAGATTTGGTTGCTTTTGGGCCGTTGTCGAGCGCACCATACCCAGCTATCTGCATTTACTAGGGTTATAAGGTTGTTCCCATCCTTAGTGTACAATGAAACCTTGTGATCGCTGCCGCTCAGTATGAGATACTCCCCATTTTCGTAGAAAGAGATACAACAGGGGTCAAACTCAAGGTCGTGTTCCTTGCCAATGGCCGTGCCATTCAGGTTATAAAATGACAGACATTGATCCCAGGAACCAACGGCGAGCACATCGGCACCATTCTCCCGTAAAGAGCTGAACCCGAGGGCCCAGATTGGATGTTTTCGTCGAATTAGCACTTTCTCCGTTTCGTCGCTCCCGATCGTAATGATAGTCCCGTCGATCATGCCAATTGCCAGCGTCTGGCCGTCAGCGGTCCATGCCCCGCATAGGCCCTTTGACTGGAGCCGGTGCTTCACCACCTTACCCATGGATGGCCCCCATACGGCCCAATCCACACACGAGATCGACGCAATCTTCGGACCCGTAGGGTTCGCGACGAGGGCTTGGATTGAGGCCTTGTGGCGAAACTTGAGGACACCCTCGAACTTGTTCGTCCAGATGATCACTGTCATATCCGCCCCACCACTCAGAAAACGCTGGCCATCAGACATGAAATCCACACAATACACGGTGTTTTCATGGCCTTTGAGAGAGTACAAGAGGGCCCCGGTGGAGGCTGCGTACACCAGCACCTGCAGCCCACACGCGGCCACCAAGTAATCGCCAGATGGGCTGTAGGCGATGCTGTTAATCTGCGGTCGAACGTTGTCGGTCCCATCTACCGTCTGTGTCCATTTAATGCAATCTTGCATCCTCAATTAACGAGGACAATGATAGTAATTAAGAAAATGAAACTTTAGGAAGCCTTGAATTGCCAAACGAATCAATGAACCAATAAAAAAAATCCAAGTAACGTATATTCTAGAGGGACGAAACCTTAGCTATTTCTACTATTTCAAAGGGTTTATATTTAAAGGAAAGGAGGGGGGACGGAAAAAAGAAATGAAAATGATCCAAAAAAAATCAAGCAACTATTTAATAGCATCAGTTTGCTGACCTATGAGTGTGATTTAACCTTATTTTAAAATAAAAATAAAACCAAACAAGTTACTTTTGCATCGGAGATGGTTCACTACTGGGCAGCGACTGCCTGTTGCCCCATGGT